TGTGTGCAAATTTCCACTGGCTTCGGCGCGATAGTGCACGGTGTCCCAGTGCCGCTGTTATTGGCAGACGACGAAGAAGCAGGTGCCGCAATGACCTTGGGCAGCGAGGTGCCCAACGCGTTGCTGGGCGTAAGTATATGCGGCATGGACACCGTGCCATTAGCCATGGGCAGAGCTGTGGTAAAGAGCAGCTTGGGCGGTTGCAAGCGCTGCCCCGCTGAGCCAGCCGCCGCGCCCGAGACTATGAACTGCGGCGACTGATGCGGCGCTACTGGCTGAACGGCACTGGCAGCTGCCATAGCTGCTGCTGCTGGCTGTAGCAATGTCGGCAACAATGTTAGCAAACGTTCACCCACGGACTTCTCCCAGTCCAGGCGCTCCCGCTCCAGCGATAGGCGATTGTGTTGAATCTCATTGGCCTCGTTTTGGGCGTTGAGCAGCTGGCGCAGCATAATACGCATAGCTAGGTTGCAGGAAGAGCTCCAAATTAAAAAAAATTCTCACTTTAAGGATTACCAATTGACTCACTTGTCATGTGTCGCTTCGACTGCTGCTCCTCACGCGCCTTTTCCTGTGCGCGGCGTTTCTCCTCCTTTTTCTCCAGCTGCTGAGTTTGCTGCTGTTGTTGCTGCTGCTGCTGTTGCTGCTGCTGCTGTTGTTGTTGTTGCTGCTGCTGCTGTTGCTGCTGTTGTTGCTGTTGTTGTTGTTGCTGTGGAATGTACTCCGGCTGCTGGAGTAGCTTCTGCTGTTGCTGTTGTGGCAACGATGCAGTCGGAACCGACGCAGCGCTCGGTTTTCCCACTGCTGCCACTGCTTTGGCAGCCGCTGCCTGCTCCGCATTGACCAGTACAAACTTGACGCCGCCCGGACCCGTAACTAGGCCAGTGTTGGCTGCTGTCTGTACGGGTGTCGTGCCAGCGCCGCTGATCATCAAACGTGCGCCCTGATTAATGGCGCTCTGCAGCAGCTGCAGCTGAGCTCCAGTCGCTGTGCCGACCGCTTTACTGGCTGTCGCATTGTTCGCCTGTTTGGGCTGCATCAGGAAATTCGTGGGCACCAAAGAGATCTTGCCTGGTGTCAGCTTGCCGCTGGCCGTACTGCTGGTGGACACTGTGCTGTTGAGCTGGGCTACGCTGGTGCTGATGCTATTGGCCGGTATGATGACATTGGCGCCGCTATAGGGCAGCAGATTGGCAGCCTTCGGCAGCTGCAACATATCTGTCAGTGTTGGCATCACAGAGCGGGTGGGCGCTCCGGGGACTCCCGTGAATCCGGTGCCCGTGCTGGCACTTTTTGGCGAGACGGCCCCGGGCTCATCAACGGCATCCACATCGATGGGCTCCTCTTTCGGAAGCGGCAACAGCATGCAGTCATCGTCCTCTTCGGGATCTGCGGTAGCCGCTGCTGCAGGAACTGTTGCTGTGCTTGAGTCAGCCACTGGTTCTGGCTGGTTGCCTGGCTCAGTCTTTATGCGTGGCCCTGTTGCAGGTGCCTCGTCAATGTCCAGATCTGCCTCGGAAGACAGCTTGCGCCGCTTGCCTGCGGTGCTTTTATTCCCTGTGAGCGGCACAAAAGTCTCCTCATTCGTGTCCATTTCCATTTGCACGTCGGCTTCGTTTTCGCCAGCCTCTTCCGGCTTGGACTTGCCGTTGGCGGCATTGGGCACAAGGGACGACAGTAGAATATCATCCTCCTCGTTTTCGCTGTCGGACAACTCCTCCCCATTTTCCTGGCGACGCTTGCGCCGCTCGGCATGCTCCTCCAATGCCTGCTCCAGTTGGTATTTGAGCGAAGGGGCCGGAACCTCGTTGGGACGCACACTGAATATGGGACGCGTCATAATAGCATCCATTTCGGCAAAATGTTTCCAACTGGGTTCCGTCTCGCCTCCCAGGCCGCACTCCTTGTCCTTCTTGAGTCGATTATAGAAGCACTTCAGATTTTTGATGCGCGTCGTAATCTCCTCCGGTGACCGATGATAGCCATACTCCTGCATCTTAGCCGCCAGTTGGCATATCACCGCGTGCTTCTTGTGCGTGGTTATCAGGGTGCGCTGCAGCTTCGGATCGCCCCACAGCTGAATGAGCAGCTTCGTCTCGTCCGTATCAAAATTGGGATTGCGACCCACGAAATTGTGCTTCTTACTGAGAGGAGTCTGGTTCGCATTTGGAATGCTGCTGCTGCCGCCGGCATTGCTGTTGTTGTTGCTGTTGTTGTTGTTGTTATTATTGCTATTGCTGCTGTGAGTGTTATTGCTTGTGACTACATCCTGCTGGCTGCTTATGGCTGCAAAGGAGCCGGAGGATGGTGCTGTGGTCGCCGCTGCAGCCTCTGCGGAGCGTCGCTTCTTTATCCGTGCACTGGACTTGAGGCTCATTGTATGGGCCTGCAAACTGCATGTTAAATTTAGCTTACAATAACTTAACGTTGACTTACCTCAATATATATATTTTTTGTATGCAGCGTCGGGGCAAAAATCAATAAACGAGCACGTTGCGTTTGCAATTAAACCATTTGAGGTGGCTCGAATCAATCCTGCGACAAAAACAACAACAACAATAACAGAGAACTTTGCGCTAGGTCTGCCCGTCGGCAAGTGAAGCGAACGCAATGAAAGCGACTACCGCGCAACTCCACGGCAACAACAACCCCTAAAGCAGCGTAAGCGTGCCGCGGTGCAAGGCAGCTCACCTACCAACCTACCCAGCAGACAGCCAGGCAGCCCTACCCAACCCCAAAACGAACATAGCTAAGCCAAGTGCACCACCAACAACATAAACGCCCAACTACGTAGAACATGCGCGGTGGCTCACTTGCTTTTTCACTCTCTCTCTCCCACTCTCTCTCGGTGTTGCTTTCTCTTTCACTCCAATGCAGTAACATATTGTGAAACGACGAGGACGAAGTTTGTCTTGCGCAGTGTTCATTTTTTTTTTAGCGACTTAGGGTATTGATTTGTAACCAAAGATGATTACAAAATCACGTTTACAATATAAGTACCTTATTTTTTTTTTTATTAAAAAATCGAATATACGTAGTTGCATAGGCGTAAAAACAGAATATAAAGCGTAGCTAGCATGAGTGGGCAAATTAGAGGAAATGTCAGTGTAACAGGACATTGACACGAGATCTGCGCATAACACTTTGCAGGACATGCGCAGTGGGTGCCCTTTTCAACAGGGAACGAGCGAGAGTGAGAGCTTGACAAACACGAATGGCCAGCGCACGTGTGCGAGAGTAGTAGGACCTGAGCGTGCGTATAACGGTGTTGTTAGGGTGGAGCAACGAAGCAACAGACTTTATGGTAAATATATCAAATCAGAAGAAAAATGTTACGCAAATAAAAGTACTTAAGCTAAATTTTGCTCTTCATTCACACAGTATTTCTGATTTTACTCACCGGAACACCAGTTTCCTAAATTAAAATTGCAACTTTTAGTCCTGCGGCCGCCCGGTGCACAGCTAAAAATTTGAACGATTATTGAACAGCATTGCCAACTGTAAATTATTTAAGCGCTTTGGGCTAGAGTTGCCAACCAGCTGACTAGTGAGCGCGTTTCGCTGTGACTGTCAGAATACTCTGCTTCATACTGTTTGGGCTCAGCTGTTAGATTCTGCTCTTGTTGCCGAGTTGAGTTTTGCAGCAAAGTAAAATGGTTTTAACGAAAGAAGAGGAGGCATTCATTTGCCGCAAGCACGAGCAAACACTTAAGCTCCGCCACGAATACTTAAAGCAGAGCTCGAATCCCTTTCGCCATGCCACCGGAGAGGGCGGCACTGTGGTATGTACAATTGGTGGTTATGTCATCACTGGCCAAATAATAATACACATATTATTATTATTCACTCTATTTTGCAGTTTGACGCTGGTCTAGCGCGCTTCCAGGCCATGCGTGTGTCAAACTATGAGCATTTCCGCCCCACAGGACACTCCTTCCGCATGGGTCTCTTCGCCGTCGTGCTGCCCATTGCTGTCTACGCTTGGGCCCTAAAGGCCGAACGCGATGGCCGCGAAAAGAAATACCGCACCGGTCAGGTCTCCTACAAGGATCGCCAGTTCAAGTTCATTTAAATGCCCATTTAGTGAAATTATACAAAAATGTTAACATACAATTGAAATTCTGTATTTTTCGATTGTTATATTAGTTAATTTAAGTATATTTCTATTTCTCCTCCATCTGCTTGTCGCGCGCTATGACAAAGTCTTCAAACTTGACCATATACGTGGTGCCCTTATGCCAGTGCGCCGTCACCTTGCAGGGCTGTAAAAGTTGTAAGCATATAGTGGACAAGTCGGCTAAAACATCGACCATAAAGACACTTACGAATCCACAGTGGGTTAATACGGCCTCTACGATGCCAGCCGTGAAGTTGGCACAGTTCAGGGAGCTCTTGTCCTTGGGCACACTTATGAATGTGTTAACCAGTGGCTCCTTTTCAATGATGTAGTACGTGCGCTCATCATCGTTGGCGTGCTCTAGTTTCTCCGCCTCCTTGCCGAACAGATTCTTCCAGACCGTTGTCTTCACAAAGAGCAGCATTTGCGTTAGCTTCGTCTCACGCTTGGAGCTGCGCTCGCGCACAAAGTACAAATCAATAATGCGTGTGCCCACATCCTGACCCAAATCGTGTAATCTAAACCAGACGGCATTATTTCTAATCTTTGGTAGTCACAAGCGAAATACAAAATACCTTGTCTGCAATTCGGGAACTGTGAAAACACGGCTCTGAGAGTATTGAACAATCTCGCTGAAGAGCAGCGCCACAATGCTTTGTGAAACCTCGGATTTGCCCTTGGATAGCGGTCGATCAAGTATATTGCTGCGCGGACGCATTGATGAGATTTTAAGGGCTTCAAGTTTTTCCATTTTATTTTCACAACAAACGTAAACAAAGCCACACGAACAAATTGGCACCAAAACAGCTGTAAGGGATGCCAGATCTTTAGAATACTGCACCGCTGCGTTGTGAATGGCAATTTTGTATTTCCTAGCTTTCGGCCGTTATTGCATGCAGCCACACTTTCTTGGATTATTCAAATCGAGCAGATCTATTTTGGCCCAATAATCACATGGCTGTTGCTGCAAAGCTGTTAAATAAGACTCAAATTGTCTGAAATTTATATCGCGCGTATGTGGACAACCAATATGATGATAATAGGGACACGCATCATCCACTATCCATCGACGTGATTGTAAATTCTTTATAATATTGCCATGGTCTGAAATTCCCTCAATTTTTTGCTCGTACATTTTGGAAGTTATCTTTGAAATGGCTTCATTGATTATAGCATCAACATTGGGCAAACCGAGTAGCTCCCTGACCAGCTTATGAGTCTCCACACGTCGCACGCACAGCAAATACCACAGCGGCATCGAATGGAACCGTATGCAACCAATCAAGCTGGGCACATTTGATTTCCGGCACTGCCAATCGTGTCCCAGCCAACGCACAGCAATAAAGAGTATCTGCTTGGATATGTTAAAAATGTTTTAAATATGTGCAAAAGAATTCTAAAATCGATCTAATTACAGACCTCCACTTCCGTGTTCACACAGATTTCATCCGAACTGAGAAGATAGACAAGATGCTTCAGCGGCACTTCCAGAAAATCTCGAGTTGCCACAAATGTGAGAAGAAACTTTTGTATGCGCGTCAGCATCAAGTTGCGAACAATGTCCAATGCCGGATTGTTTTTCGATTCAACATACATGATGCAGGCGGTGGCCTCATTAAAACAGTTTACATCATCAAAATACGTCCAGCAGCCCAACAGCAAAGCTTTAATTCTCAAATAAGTTGCGGCCACAAATACGGCGACAATGTTGTTGCGCTCCAGGGTGGGTTCATCGCTGAGCATCCATTTGTAGATGAGCATAAAGGCCTTTTGCGATACCTTCTCCTCCGGCAGTGTCACAACGAGCGGAATCGGCTCAAGCTCCATAAAGAACTTGGAGTAGGCCTGCAGCACAATGACATGGCAATTGAAATACATTTTATTGATCTCTATTTGGACGGTGGTCTTCAAATGGTTTTCCACCATATAGCGCAAGACGGCTTTTAAGGAAACCTTGAGAGGCTGTTCGATGCTCGTCCAATCGCGCACATCTTCAAAGTTATGTCCGAACTCAAAGAGCGATCGATTTGTCGCCAAATCCGCAGATTGACGCTTAAAAATACGCTCGATCTCCAAATCTTCAGCTTTTGAGACTAGGCATGTTACCGATCCCAGTTCATCTTCGGATGAGGTTCCCGGTCCGAACTTTGTGCTACAAATTCAATATTAGTTTGATATGTACATAAATACCAGTAAGAGCTTTTTCTGTGCCTCTCTATTTACTTGACAAAGTGCACACTGCACGTGAGTTCTCGGTTGGCCGGCTCTCTCTTGTGCTGGTCCAAGGCTTCGTATTTTTCCATTAGCTGATCCATTATAAAACTTCCTTTAAATATTAAAATATATATATATTTGTGATTGAATATTAACGGCAAGCTTAAGCACACACAACAAAAAAATAGGCAAAGTTCGTTTAGGAATGTTTTACGGAGAAAATAGGGCCCGCTCTGTAAACTTAAAAGAACACCTTAGTCTTGTGTTTCCCAAAATGGTAGATAGTGTTGTATCTTGATATTTTATATTTCGATGATAATATATACGTGAATATATGCGGTTCAAGGTTACAGACCCCATTAAAATGCTGCTCGTTCGGTTTATAGTTCGAACAATTTTGTTGTTTAACTTGAGGCAAAAAAGTTAGTTGCATCGGCCGGGAATCGAACCCGGGCCGCCCGCGTGGCAGGCGAGCATTCTACCACTGAACCACCGATGCATGTGATGGAACTCGAAACGAATCGCAATATGAATATAGCCTTGCTTTATGAGTATGAACTTTGATATAGAAAATAAGACGCGTGAAAAAAATATTAAAGTACGCGTAGTTGCCGCGAGTTGCCGGACGGACGTAATGAGGATATTTTTCGTAATTGTTTATTAAATTGTGTTTTATTGGTTTGTATTTTTCTTTTTCACATTTCAAATACATTTATATGAATAAATATATCATTTATTTTGTTTAATTTGTATGCCATATTTTATATGCGGCTTCTTATGCATAAATTTATGTGATTTTCATTTTATGTATTGTATATAAACAAAGGGTTGATTGAAAAATTCTTATGTTTGTTTGGTGTTTAACAAATTGCTGCCATTAACTATTAATCTCTAGAATATTTTTTTTATTTTTTGTGAGAATTTTTTAATAAATAATGTAGCGAAATGTTTGCTATTGTTACTGACTCCTAGATTTGTTGGTTTTCCTTTGCTTACATTGAACATACATTTTCGTTTGTTTATGGACAGTTAAAATTTGAAATACATTTAATATATACTTTATATGTTTTTGTATGTTGGCATGCTTTTGGATCATTTTACAAGTTAAAATTATTGTAGCTTTAACTAAATAATAAAAAGTAATTTAAAATTATACATGTATATTTAACATTTTGTACTTTTTGTTGAGTGTTTGTTCTTTGTTCAAAGTTTTTGTTTGTTTGTGGTAGGTTTCTTGATCGAAACAACTTTCGTTCATTTATATTTTAAGATACTGCATTTGCATTTTAGTAACAATTGCCTATTTTCTTAAGGTTTTTTTTTTTAATATTTTTTGTTGGTTTTTTTTAATGTGTATAACACAACCCATAGCTTATTTTTGAATAAATATGCATTTATAGTAAGAAATAAATTAATGCTTTTATAATTATTAATTTCATTTTTGCATAAGTATTCAATTTTAGCATTCTTTAATACGTTTTTTCACATTTATATATATAACTGCATAGTACATTTTTTTTTTTTTTTTTAAACACTTAAGTATTTTGTGATAACCCCATTTACAAATGAGATAATATTTATTGGGTTTCGTAAACCAAATCGCTCATTTGTAATGGAAAAATTACAAATTGTTTTTATTTATAGGTTGATTTAAGCGACGCAAACGCAGAATTGCAACGGTTGCGTTTTAATTCGTACAATTTTTTTTTTCCTTTTAACTTTTTAACTATCTGTATTAACGTAAAAATTAAAACAAAACGTTTGTTTTTTTTTTGCAAAAGAAATATTTTGAATCTTCATGAGCCCTAAGAAGAGCCAAAAACATTCTTTTAATTTAAAATCGAAATGAATATAACATTAGTTGTTAAACAATTATGGCTGGTAAATGAACTTTTTTGATCAATTGGTCAATTGAAAACGTCGTTGTTGCAAATTAACGTTGCCCGCTTCGAAAGGTTTAAGAACAATTTGTAATTCTTACTTGGGGTATTTAGTTTTAAATTTTTCTTTTTCTTTTTGTTTTTATTATTATTTTTTTTTTTAAACAATATTTGTTGTTCGCATTTGCGCTTTGTTCTTACTTTAAAACTATAAACAAATTGGAATTACGCACAAATGTGTATATTTGCATAACTTTCGGGCCTTGCCTTGGCTTAATACTGTTTTCCAATTTTTAATTGTAAACAAAACTTAAGTAGCAAAAACTTAAAGAACTAAAAAGAATTACTATTCATTAAGCATATGATACGTAAATTTAATATATATATAAACAAATAGCCCGGTTTTTACAAAACTATAATAAAGTGACAGCTCTACACTTAAAAACAATTATAAATGATAAATTGGTGTGTGTGTGTGTGTGTGCGTATGCGTGTATGTTTGTGCGTTATTTGATCTTCATATATATGTACAATAAATTATGGCAAATCAAATGGAGTTACAAAATGATCAAAACTTAAACAAACAGGCAATAAACCGAAAGATGGTGTAAGAGCTGTTTTCGACGTTCTTTTAGAACATCAGCCGTCCATAGTCGTTTTGGGCGGCCTTGCTGCTGCGCGGCTGCATCAGGTATAAAGGCTGCGGCGGATGGTGCTGCGGCGCGCCGAGACTGTGTGAAAGCTCCCAGTTATAAAAATGCCTCTGCGGCTGCGACAGTGACTGCGACTGGCGCTGTTTTAGTCGCAGCAGCTGGCTCTTGTAGTTTTGCTCGTCGGCCTGCAAATGCTGGTTTCTGGGCCTGGTGCTAGGGTCGTCATCGTACTGTCCTTGCAATCTAGCCTCCAAATGTCAGACATGCGGTTTATGGCGGCCACCGCACACGCCGCAATGTATGCCCAACAAGTGGCATGCACGCAGCGGTGGATAGCACCACAGGCAGGGAACGAACAGGGACAGCAGCGCCAGGCCCAACCAGCGCTTGGTGCAGCCCGCCTCGCTAACGCTACAATCGCACGGATGCTGCGCCGTCTCACCCTCCGCATCGCTCATGCAGTGATAGATCATGCAGCGCGCGCAGCCCATACCCGAGATGCACTCGTAGCCGCTGCGAAATGGATCCGGTGCATATTCGCAGGCGCCACGCCTATTAAACTCTTCGCTGTAAAGCTCGTGACAATAGCGGCACCGCAGGCGCGTCTCCTTTTTGAGTATATCCGACACATTGGGTTTGTGCAACGGCTTGTTGGCTCCGGATGCCGCCGACGTTTGCGCAGCGGCCATCGCTTGCGCCGCCTCCAGAGCATTGCGCTTCTTTACCGCAGTGATCGACTCGCGGCGCGCATTCAACACCTGTGCGCCCACTGGCTGCTCCACCACAGGGTAGTTATAGTCATGGTGAACAGCTGTCAGCGTTACATAAGAGTAATTCTCGCTAGGCGCAATCTGACCGGCAGGTGGCGGCTGCGGCCCATCAGTTGAGCCGCCTGCATTGTTGCCGCTGCCGGTGCCCGGAGCCGTTGATGTTTTATCCGTCGATATGTAGTGTATGGTCGCCGCTGGTAGTTTCTCTGAATCGGAATTGTTGCTGTAGCTATCCTTATGTCGGTCGCTGACGCTTTCTGCAAGAATGGAACAATTAAGTTTCGAGTGCAATTGCGAGATTTGAAAAATATTTGGATGCATTACTGTGACTTTTTTCGCTGCCTTCTGGGCTTGAATGTATCTTTTGTAAACTTTCGCTTTCCACAGGTAAGTCCAGGGTCTGTATATTGTCAACAATTAGCAACGTTTTAAGAAACTTTGTGTTACGAACTCACCATGAATACATCATCTTCACCAACCGAATCGTATTTGGTCAACGGCGGGCATATTATAGTGGGATTTGATTTGGCCAGTCCTACGTGTGTTGGAATATATAAAAAATGGTTAGTTATATCAAATTGCTTAAAATAACAATCTTTTAAATTTATTTCAAGGCACACAGCAAATCAAATGTGAAGCTTTAAGAGAGCGTTGTAAATTAGTTTAAAGAAAACAGCGTATCATGTACAGTTGATAGTGTGTTTAAGCAATTGTAGATTACGAATTATTTTCATGGGTGTGATCTATGTGAATAATACTACAAATTATGGTGAGCGCTGCAATTTTCAATGGAACACAACAAAACATCTGAATGATGTCGACAGTTCTCTGTCTCTTTAGCTCTAGCTCGAAAATTTGCTTAAGCAGATGAACAGACCAGCTAGATGGCTAGATCAATAATAGACAAATGAAAAAGTATGTACACTATAAAAAGGAAGTGTGTTTAAAAACAAATCAACCGGCTAAAAAAAAACACGATACGTTAATTAATTAATTGATTTTAAATTCAAGTTTAGTTACAAAAAAGAGCAGCGCACACACGATAGTTTTTAAAAAGAAACCTCCTTAAACACTTACCAATTTCGTTTAAAATATATATTATGTTAATTTTGTTTAATGGTTGGTTTTTGTAATTTTGTAATTTTGAAACAAATTGCACAATTCCAATAAATGTTTTAAGTTTTGATAATTTTGTTTTGTAGCAAGTTTTAAAAAAGAGCATAAAACATTAATTTTGCATTAGTTAATGAAGGCAAAAATTCTAAATGCAACGTCTAATGGAGAACTGACGCTTAGCCAAGTTGTGATAAGAAAACTTAAACTATATTAGTATATGCTAAACTGAAATAAAAGCAAGGATAGAAAACATCTTTGAGAGTGTTATTTAAGCGACATGCAGCTAAATGGGAATGGGGAGGCTCGGGCCATAAAAATGTGGAAAACTGCATACCATCAATTAGTTCATTATAGGCGCGAAGGACGCCCTTGTCAAAGGCGCGGGCATCGGCAGCCGTTTGAAAAGTTAAACCGTTGCGCTGTTTGCCGGCGCGCCAATGATGAAAAGTGGGCATTACTTTGTAATACTTTAGATCACGATTGATGACACAGCTTAAAATAACCTGCAAATGAAAACACAAGAAATAGGATCAAGCTTAATTTTATTGATGATGATGATCTCTAACTTACACTTTGATCAGAGATTCTTTGCCCATAGATGATGTAGTCATGACCCGATGACAATGGGGATAATCTAGCTCGTTTGCGTATTGAAACATTTGCCAGACCACCCCCGGCCAAAGGTAGCCAGCCTTCTGTGCTTTCGTCTCTGGTCATTACCTGTGCGCGTACTGTAACTAAGAAGTCGCTGCAATGTAGAACAAATACAACAAATTAAAAAACAGTTAAGAGTTTGAAAATTGTGAAATCATAGTCAATTCTAATCGATGGGCATAAACGAATTAATATTAAATAACAATTGAAAGTAGGAGTAATCGTTATCGATCTGTATCGATAGGCACCTGCTAAACGTGCGCTTTAAGCGTAATTTACGGTAAGATACTGTGGCCATTGCTGCTGCTCCGGAGTGACTGCATCCGCCTGTGGCAGCAGCTCTCGTCTATATCCCTAGCGCGATAACTTAAAAGTGTCAAGTAATTGGGCTAATTCAATTTTCGACCAACGAAGCCATAGCAGAGCGGCCTTGCCGACTCCAACTGCACACCTGTCGCTTTTATTCATGACAAAGCCTAAATGAACTAAAAATAATTATAGGTCCTTCCTTTCAAAATACACGTACACACACACACACACACACACACAGAAGCGTTTGCTCATTGATGTGTTATCTCCGCACGTACATATATGTAGTACATACATGTATGTGGTATATTAAGGGTAGCAAAAATATTTGAATTAAGAACCTGTGAAACTTCCATTTTGGGTTTCATTCTTGAAAAACGCAGCTACCGCAAAATGAGCTGGGAGTAGGGCGAATACAGGCCCAAAACAAGTCGGACCAACAAGCGAACAAAGCAACTCACGACCTGCGCAGAAGTTTGAAATGGAGTTTTAAGCGTAAACTTACTCAATGAAAAAAGCTTTCAGGGAGGAGTTGGTAACCCGTCGCTTCTGACTCTATTTGATTGTATCTGTGTCTGTGTGTGTGTGAGTGTATACACACATTTGTCCTAGATTTGGCAAATTTTACAGAATGAACACGCACAGCGTCTGCCAAAGTAGACAAAAACGACGTCATAGCTGTGTCAAGGACTAGCTAGTGGCAGCCATAGCAGGTTGCAACGCGACAAGGCGCACTTATATGTACATACGTATGTATATGCATCGTTCGTACTCAAGGTGGAAAGCACACGTCAGCATGTCTGGTCAAGGATGTCCATGCGGTTGTCAGGCCATGAATGAATTGCATTTTCTTTACAATTTCTACTACCAGGGCTGCCCTAGATGCATTCATGGAATTTGAAAAGAGCTTTTGATTGCCCTAGTGGCAACGTCAATAAAAAGTTGTACTGGAGTTGCCACATTGCAAGCTGCAAATGTGCATTTATAAAACAGAGGTAAAACACACACACACACAGACGACGTGTGTGAATATTCAGCAACAACTCCGCTTAAGACATGACACAAAGCCTGCCTCAAGCAAAAATTAAAAGTCCCAAGTCAGAAACAAAATCCTCAATTGACACACTCCCAACAGCGCGCATGCGTGGGAAAGAGAGAGGCACAGAGAATCGGGCTCCAGTGTCTGTAAATGCAAGTGTGTGCACAAAAAAACGGGAGCTGGTCGCTGTCAATTGTTTAAGCATTTGTCTATGATCTGCATATGAAGAATGTAAACATGTAAGTATGAATGTTAGTACAAAACATACTTATGAAATTAAGTTATGTTATGCGCGACAGTTGCAACTAGCTTGAGAGCTTTTAAAGCCCATCTAGCAACATTTATTCTGAGGTATTTTTCTACCTATAAAAGCGCTGCAAATAGTTTGCTAACACCCACAATTCTAAACCTTTTAGTAAATATGTATATTTTTGTGGTGGTATATGTATGCATTCGCACAGGGCTGGAGACTTCAGCAACGACAAGCTTTAAATATGAAAGAACTGGTCCACATGAAATGTGTTTAAAAAGCAATTGATTTAGTTAAAAACGAGTTGACAGGACTATTCACTTATACGTACACACATAAAAGTAAATGTTGTTATAGTAATGAATGGAAATTGAATGCAGAATGCAAATCAAAATTATCGGCTTTCTTCTTTCAACCAACAATTCCCAGCAAGTAGAGGAACCAAAGCAAGCCATGAATGAAACTACAAGAACCTTGGCTGTGCTATTGAATGTGTGTGTGTATTGTTATTATTGTTGCTGTTGCGCAGACGTTGGTACATTCAAATAGCATTACAAAAGTGCTTTAGCTATAGCTTTAGCTTTAGCCACTGGCTTCTTCGATTGTGTTTGTGTCTGTCTGTCTGTTGTAAATGCTTCAATATACGGCACATAAACAAGCAAAGAAACGCGCAGGGCGAGTGACATCATTTCCAATGGGGCGCTACGCTTTAAACAGCAAGAAAAACAATTAGAAAAACAAGATAGTTGCTGGCATTCCATTTCATTCATTAAAAGTGGCGACAGACAGACTATGTGGAGACATAGACACGGCGTTCGCAATAGATAGACATATGTATGTATATACAGTCTTATGCATGTACATGTGTGTGTATATATGCATGCGTGCCTTAGATTGACCAGACAAATGAGTCACATTTCATTCATACCCAACATGCTTCTTCAGCTTGATTAGCGCCGTCTTTCATTCAGAAATATTTGTTAGTATTTAAGTTCAATTAAATTGCATTTTCGCTTGTTAAATTGGCAGCAATTGTGTAAATTAAATTGGGAGCGGGAACAATTAGAACACATACAAAGACACCCCTTACATCAGTCTTGCAACGCTGTAAGCTTGACTTAAATATTAGATTATACATAAGTATATTTAAATAGGTTCACTTACCTTTCATGTCCTTCTGTCATGGTTTGTAATCAGAAAGATTCTAATATAGCAGCGTATAGTGTCGGTGTTGTTCTTGTTGGTGGCAAAATACACCATGATTAAAGCATAAAGACATTCAGAGCCTGCTGCTGCACAAACTTCCGAAAAACAAGTGAGAACAACAACAGAAAAAGTAACTGTAAGTATTACAGTTACGCTGGCTTGAGGCTTAGAAGTTTAGTTGACTGTAGATATCTGGAGAGCTAGTATTGTTTTTATTGTTGGTCTTTTCAGCCGAGTTGTTGTTGTAGGTGATGCGCTTCGTTGCTTTGTTGTTTTTATTTTCTCTGCTTTTCGTTTCGTTAGCTTTCTTTTGGCACAATATGAAAGACGACGCCACTGCTTTGCAACTGTTTGAAAACGCATTAAGTACTGCTCCCGATTTTAGCTACGACTAAAGAGCAAAACCGTTATATTAAATTAAATCGACAAATAATTAAAAATTATTTTTTATGAAAGCAAGTTCTTTTAGAAATAACAAGAGAGCAGCAGACGGCGACGAACGGGCGACTTTTACTTTTTCAATACACTCGCAAACACACACACACTCTTGCACACACTATGTGGGCGTGTAGACAAACACTGTGGAAAAACTTCATGGAGCAAATATATGTCCGAATTTTTCCAACAACACAGATGTAACAGGCATCTCAAAATGAGCAAGAGAGCGCACGCACGCAAGGTTGAGCCTGTATTGAAATTGAGAGCGCACCAGCCCCAGCTAAAACAACAACAAAACAGTTGTATACAAAATTGTGGTGTCTTAACTATATAACTTTTGTTTAAAAACGCAAATAGGATTATATCACATTCATTTGACTTAGATCTTGTTAACCAAAGCCTGAAAATATATAAATCACTTTGCGCTGCGAATGACAATTCATTCATATATTTTATCAAGGCTACAGGCGCTTTGGTCTCTCTTGGCTTGTGTGGAGCACTCTCTTGGATTCTCACTTGCTTGCTACGAGAGCGTCGCTTGCGCATATACAAAAAAAGGTAACACACACACACGCACGCAGAAAGTGAGGTAGAACATTTTTTGGGCGATTCTCCATGTATACACATAGTATATATAAATACATACAAATATGTATATATGTTTTTTATTGCCTATCCTGCAGCTTTTGACATACTTATATTATATTCACATACAAGCACATTATTTGCAATAAATACTTATTTTCTTGCTGCAATTTTCGCCATAGTAAATGTTTACGACGGCATGTGCTTTGCTATTGTTTGATTTTATTTCATTACTTTTTTTTGCACTGCGAATTTAGGTTAGTATATGTTGGATATTTGACTTAGCGCAGACATAACGACCGTGAAGGAGGTGGCAGGTGAGGGCGCGGATGCGTGCGGAGCAGAGAAGGAGACGTGGTGTATCGGAATTTTTCTCTATTGGATAACAGCTTTTCGCATTTTATACCGTTTATCACGTTTCTGCAGTGGCAGACACATTATACCACTTATTTGTGGCAATCTCTTCTATTCTTTGCACTTTTTGCAACTTGTCTCTTTGGACACAAAAGCAATTCTGATCTCAGATGGCAACTGCGTTTGCTTGGAAATTTTTCACTCGCGTTTCGGGTTTAAAGCTTTTATGTGTTAATATTTATATCGAATTTTCACTTAATTTAAATGCATAATTTTTCATTCTTTTTTATTATTTTTTATGCAGATTTTACACCTACTGACTCTTCTTCTTGTCGAAAAAAAAGAATGAAATTCCAAACGAGATGTTACTTAACATAACATCGACAACTAGAGTAACATTTGCAGAATTGTTATTAACAGATAGAAAGAAGTCATAGAAAAACTATCGAAAATATTTTTTGGATTCAAAAATGAACCAACAGAACTTATCGTAGGCAGTGAATTTTAGATAATTGGACAAACGACTAATAAATTTCTGACAATATTTAACTCTTAAATTACATCTGCGCTAGTATTATCGATATATAAATACTTTTACGATGTCACTGCTGTTAAGCTTTAAGACATTCACCGTTTCTAATATAATATTTTAAATTAATAAAACTCGAATTTATGGAGATTGTTCAGTTTAGTTTCATTATATAACAAAGGTAAAAAATAAAATAAAATTTTTCCAAAACCTTTAAATTTTTTCATTTTAATCTGTTTTAATAAGTTTCTGGAGTTTCCCTAAAAACATCGTTTTAAATAAGACTTGAGGGTTTAGATTTTGTTGCATTTTCCAACAGGAACACGTAGTCTTAGATAGTACGTTGTTGTAGTACGAAATGAAATATGAAACGCGGGGAACTCTAGTCAGAAGTTAACGCCTACTACCATTGTGTTCTGGATAAGTAACTGTTATTTTGTCGCTGTAACTATGTATATTTTTACAGCTCTGTAAAAAATGTATCGGTAGATTGACACTCTTGTTACAAGTAGCCGATAAGTAAATATCGCTCATCTCTAGCATTAACATTTCCTTTTTTATGTGCGTGTGTGTGTTTGATGACTGCGGGAAATTGGCTGCCATATATAATTCGCAAATAAATCGCTGAAAATGGCTAAAAAGAAAAGTGAAGAGCATTCGGGAGCCGATGCAAACGATAGCGACTACACCGAGGAGCCAAACTTCGATGATCCTCCCAATTTTGTGGACAATATCAGCGATGAAGGCAAGTTTGGGTCTTGCCAGCGCAGCACACGCGCTACAAGCCACCGCCGACTATTGCAAAAACAAACATAACCTCAATCTGAGCGTTAATTTTATGACAATTGCAATAATGCCCATAATATTGTAGATTTACTTGGGGATATGCTGGCGCAACGCCCATCGGAGGCCGATGGTGTCGAGAGTGTCGTTGTGGTCGACAACATGCCAAAAGTGGAGCCGAGCCGCCTCGAGAAACTAAAATCGGTTATCAACAAGCTGTTTTCTCAATGCGGTGAAATTGTCAACGTTGTCTATCCCGTCGATGAGGAGGGCAAGACAAAGGGCTATGCGTTCATGGAGTATAAGACCGCAAGCCAGGCTGAGGATGCGGTCAAGAAGCTGAACAACCATCGTCTGGACAAGAATTACACCTTTGCTGTCAATTTGTTTACAGACTTCCAAAAGTAAGTTGTCGGTTAGCCAATTTTAAACAGATAAGAAGATATATTCTTATGTGTAAAGGAACTATTTAAAAAGATAACGAGTAATTAATGCCTGCAATTGCTTAATAGGTATGAAAATATACCGGAGAAATGGGAGCCGCCAACGGTGCAGCCCTTCAAAGTACAGAACGATCTGTACAATTTTATAAACGATCCCGATACCTACGATCAGTACTGCGTGGCGGCAGAGACAGCGCCCAATTGCGTGCAGGTTGGCTTCTGGCAGAATAGTCTCCCAGAACCTACTGAGCTAGAGACGCGTGAACGTTTTACTGATACTTTTGTCAAGTGGTCTCCGTTGGGCACGTATGTGGTCACCTTTCACAAACCTGGAGTCGCCATTTGGGGAGGCAGCAGTTTCCAAAAGATTCAAAAGTTTCCGCATCCTGGCACTCAATTCGTTGAGTTTTCGCCCTGCGAAAATTATTTGGTTACGTATGGTCCGACGCCCACCGGCCAAAAGATCATCATTTGGGACATACGCACCGGCACTGAGAAGCGTTCCTTTGTGGGTGATGGGATGTCAGTGTTGTCAATGTTCCGCTGGTCGCACGATGACAAATTTGTGGCACGCATGGGCGAAAACTCGATACACATTTACGAGACACCATCGTTTTATTTGCTAGATTTGAAATCTATCAAGATTCCAGGCATACGCGGTTTCTCGTGGTCGCCTACGGACAACGTAATTGCCTACTGGGTGGAAGAACAGAATCAGATACCCGCACGCGTGACGCTAATGGAGATTCCCAAAAAGCGGGAGACACGCAACAAGAACCTCTTCCATGTGGCCGACTGTAAGCTTCATTGGCAAAAATCTGGCGATTATCTATGCGTCAAGGTTGATCGCTACTCTAAGTTGAAGAAGGACAAGAAGGAGTTGGATGTCAAGTTTCTGGGCATGTTTTACAACTTTGAGATATTTCACATGCGTGAAAAGGAAGTACCCGTGGATTCAGTGGAGATACGCGAGCTTATCCTCGCTTTTGCCTGGGAGCCCATAGGTAACAAGTTTTCCATTATACACGGCGAGCCCAATTCTTCAAACGTTAGCTTCTACGAGGTCAACAAGGGTGTTAAGCCAAGCTTGGTCAAACGCCTGGAGAAAAAGTCTTGCACTCATCTGTTCTGGTCGCCACGTGGCCAGTTCATAGTGATGGCCAATCTTACCATGGGCACCTTTGAGTTTGTTGATACAACCAATGATTACATCATCAGCGCATCACCGGATCACTTCCGCGCCTCCGAGGTAGAATGGGATCCAACTGGTCGCTATGTCGTTACTGGCGTCTCGTCTTGGAAGGTCAAAGAGGATACGGGCTTCAACATGTACACCTTCCAGGGTCGCATCATCAAGCGCACCATTTTGAAGAACTTTGTCCAGTTCCTCTGGCGCCCGCGACCGCCGACGCTTCTCAGTGAAGAGAAGCAGAAGGAGATAAAGAAGAACCTGAAGAAGTACTATCCGGTATTTGAGCAGAAAGATCGCCTCCGCTCGACCCGTGCCTCCAAGGAGCTGCTCGAGAAGCGCTCACAGCTGCGTGAGACTTTCATGGAGTACCGCAACAAGCGCATTGCAGAGTGGAAGGATCAGAAGAGCCGTCGCGTCATGCTCAGAGGGCGTATGTTAATTACAGCCAAATGTGAACTTGTGATTAAAGGTTTTATTGTTTATTTTGCAGATGTGGATACGGATAATTTGGAAACTGATGAAGTCGATGAGGAAGTTGTTGAATTTTTAGTCAAGGAAGAAATAACCCTGCTAGAGTAGACGACCCCCAACACTGCGCCCACGTCCTCCCCTGTTTTCATATTAATTAAAGCTGGTGGCTCAGACTTGCGACGCAACGTGACAACGTCCCGGCAACCTCCACTTGTCGGGATTCTTTTGCAAACACGTATCGCGTCATTAATATTGCAACTAATCGTAACCATATTAAATAGCTTGCGTTACATACATATGCACACATATACATACACTACTTATATCTATATAAATTTGATCCTTAAGCAAAAAAGTAACGTCACATAAATTTATATTAACTAAAGTCAAGTTCACGAACAACTTTATAACTGGATAGAATCGAGCACACCCAACAAAAAACATGTCCGAGACCACATTGTCAGCCATTAGAAGTAAATTTGCATTGTATTTGTATGTTAACAGCAAAAAGAAAAGGAAAACGAAACGGCGTGTACATTTACATTTTTTATGAGGAGGGGGGCCAAAAACTCAAACTGAAATAAAAGCCAGTTACCATTCGAATCTATGTTCCCATTCAAACGTTTTTTTGCTCGCTACGAATTTTTAACAGATATACTGATAAAGCCCTTAAATTCGATTCGGCATTAGTGTCTGCATAGGTAAAAAAATTAAGGGCCTAGAGCCAGCCAAACCCAAAAATCTAAGAATATGGTCTACATTTTAATTAACTTGAAAAGCATCGGAAAGATAAGAGCTCGAAATGAAAAGATTTTTGTTTTCTTATTGGTAGACATTTAATTACAATGGTATAGATTTTATAAAAGCAAAAAGTTGGAAATAGGGATTTATAAAGAATTGCAATATATATTTTTGATCAGTATATTATATTGCCACATTAGAAATTGCCAATAAAAATAAGAATTCCTTATAACAGGTTATCATATCCAACATCTGCCACATGTGAAAAGCATTAAATCGTCCGTAAGGATAACAGTCTTTCCTTGTTCTCCAATCCAGTTAGAATATATTTCAATTCAAATAAGCAAATAGAACCCTGGCAGAGAATCCAAATCCCCTATATACCGCTTTGAATTCTTTTCTAAAATTTAAAAGTATATTCTTATCGGTCTGCAGTGCAATCCTAAAAACGAATCGGTTATCCCGGCGGCGAGAGGTTCGAATGAATCTCTGTTTGCTTCAACACCAAAGAATTTGAGTATGACGCAAGATCAAGCGTTTCGTCGTCAGTGGTTGGATCAAGAAAAGATTTCTATAATAATTACATAAAGTTTTTCACGGGAAACTGCGGATTGTTGGCCTCGGTGGCTGTGTTTAGCACTTCATGAGAATCGTTATCTGGCGTTGAAATAGGCGTTAGCCAAATCTGCGATACTAAGGAGCTTATTGAGTCCAGGCTGCGATAGCATAGTTCCGATGAATGGATCATGGCATCTCCCAGCAGATAGCGCTTGCTGCGCCGCAGCAAATCATCAATCTGTGGCATGTAGCGCGTCATAAGTGGATCCAAAACCTCATCGAAGACCCAGACGCTGGACTGGGGCGCGGCAATGACCACCCAAAGCACGATCAGCAGCTTCGCCTCCGCATACAATGGCAGCCAATTGAACATTGAGTCTCCTACTAACTCAATGCATATAAGCCACGCATAGACAACCCAGTACTTGGCCCACGCATTCAGCTCCTCCTCGCCCAGCGCATTCTGCGTGTGGCGAGCCGGCAGTATAACGCCAAAAATGATAACCAGGACACGCGTGACGAAGCCAAAAAAACACATATTTGGTTGGATTTCGCTGTCAAATAA